ATGACAATCTAAATAATTTGCAGTAATGATTAAGAGGTACTGGGGTATGAAATTAATATCTGAAGGAGTTCTCACTTGTATCTCTAAGGACCTCTAGGAGTAACTAAAGTGTAACCTAAACAATGGATTAATATATATATAGATATATATTGTTATCTCTCTACAGGCATATGTCAAAAAAAAAAAAAATCTCCCTACAGGTAATCGTCACCTAATCAAATCGTTCATCCACATCGTGACACATGTCCCCCTCCTCTAAGGCTGGGACGGATCTGGATATCTGGAAATTTTGGAGTATCCGGATCCGGATCCGGATTCGTCGGATCCATGATTTTAGTATCTAGATTCGGATTCGGCCTGCCCGGGTATCCAGGGTCTCGGATATCCGTTCTAGAAGTTGTAATATCCTCGGATATCCGGATTTAGATCCGGATTCGTAAAAATAATTAGAAAAAATAAAAATTATTTAAAAATACATAAAATTTAAAAATAATAGACAAATTAAATATTTATACCAAATTTATGAATATATATGACATATAATATTATTAAAAGTACAATATAATATTATAAAATTAATTATATATTTAAATATTAATATAATTATTAATAAAATTTAAAATTTATTATAATTTAAAAATACAAATCCGGATCCGGATATCCGGACTTAAAAATTAAGATATCCGGATTCAGATCCAATCTGGACGGATTCGAGATTATCCTGTTCGGATTTGGGCACCCGGATATCCTATTTTCAGAGCGGATCCTCCGGAGCGGATCTCCGATCGAATCCGAATCCCGGATAATAAGTCCCAGCCTACCCTCCTCCAAACCTCACCGTTTAATTAACCTTTGTGTCCAACTGATTGGGCCGGCGTTTACTCTTCTCTCAGCCCAAAACAATGAGACCAGCTGTCATATTTTTAGGGTTATGTGTTCTTCTTCCATGATGAAGCACTAGGTTTTCATCTTCGATCTCGAATACAGCTATGGAGTTTCAATGAATTCAATCGACTTTAATCATGGCTATGTGAACCTTCGATCTGGCGTTTTGTCTTCTCTTTATGTAAACGGAAAAGTTTCTCATAATTGATTCATCCTCTTTATGATGCTCCTTAACTCCATCACTCCTCGACGAGCACAATCTGTTACTGAATGCATCTTATTACTTTGTAAGACAGGGTCTGTAATCCTATAAAATGTAAGCCTTAATTTTCTTTATACATAATCATCTAAACTCTTGAAAACGATTAAGAAAACATTTTTCTCTGAATTGCTATTTATTGATCTTTTTCCGATTTAAAGTTATGCCAATGTTCTTCAACCATGGAGGTAAGATGGCTCAGATTCTGGGAAGCCAGAAACGTCAAACATGGTGGGAGCTGATGGCGTGGTTATGCTCTTACTGGATTCAAAGATATTTCTTTCAAAACTCATCTGCATAATGTTCTTGAATTCATGTTCATACTTAGGTTAAACTATTCTGGCGTGTAGTCTAAACATTATCAAAGTTTTGAAATTAGATATTTATTAGGTGTTTCTGTTCGTAAACTCCAGTTAATAGTGTTCTTAAACTTTCATCTTAATTCTTAAACTTTTATCTTAATTAAGATGATTCTGTTTTTTTATTATGTTCATATTGTTCTGAAACTAAACTCATGTTCATAGTGTTCTGAACTCATGTTCGTAGTAATTTTGAATTGTTGGTTGATTATGATTCTTTCTCAATGTGATTATGTTCGTAAACTCATGTTAATAGTGTTCTTAAACTTTCAATCTTGATTAGATGAGAGCAGTGCCGGCCCTTGGACCAAGCAAAAGAAGCAACTGCTTGCGGCCGACATTGTTATTACAAAAATCCGGCCACAAATAATCAAAATAGTTAGGAAGTCTAGTGGCGTGGTTTGAAGAAAATAGACTTGTCACCCTTAACCAGGGTTCAAATCTCACCTTTTTCATTTTTTTTGTTTATTTTTTTTTTTTTAAAGTGGCCTTTTTTTTTTAATTTTTGCTTCTGGTCTTATATAATCTATGACCGGCTCTGGATGAGAGCCTATGAAGCTGGTCATCTATTGGTACGTGAATATTCCATCTCATATGATCGTTTGAGCTGATTACATTCTTATACAATTTTGATATACCATTTCTTACTTAGGAGAGAGAGGCTGTGAACCTGGAGGATGCACAGATCCCCCCCCCCCTCCCTCTTTTATTACAGAAATGGAAAGTAAGACTACACGTTCCAGGTCAGGGTTAGAACTTACAACTACACATCGAATCATCAGACTTTCACCATCTCACGCATCTTTAATGAACGTGATTGCATGCCACTCCCTGCATTTGTTGACAACGTAAGTAAGTACCATGTATATTCCATTCTGGTTCCTTCTTTTGTCTTTTGAATATTTTAAGTCATTCGGTTTTACAGGGACGATAATAATGGATATGATATGCCTGCTGCAAACTCAGTCCCTTTTAAGGCAGCACCGAATACGTGAGAAGGTCCAAGTGGTGTCAACACAACTAATTCTCCAGCACAAAGATGTTCTAAGATGGTCAAGAAAGCATGCAAGACATAGATTAGAATAATGAGAGATCTGGCATCAGTATTTCCTCTTTGAATAATGCTGACGCATTGGTTTTTCTCTTTGTTTTTGAACAAGTTCGTTTATGTTTCCCTCCTATTTGGGTAATCTATGTTTGGTTCAGACTCTTTATAAAATATGTCTCATTTTCCACAAGCAATCTTTTATTCTATGACTAGGATTGGGTAACCTATGACATTTTATCAGTAGATGTAGAGGGTTACTTTCTCTTCGTTTTGTGTGTGTTCTCAGCTACACTAGGATGTAAAGTATAATAGAGCCATTCTTTGAATTTTTATTCACGGGTTGGTGGTTGACGCACCGTTCCTATTCTCTCTGAAGGAATAAATCTCCAGGTTATATGTTTGTGTGTTATTGTTTTGTGCCATATCAATACTCTCTTCTTTATAATAAAAGTTCTCTAATCTTTTGATCGATCTATGTTGTTGTTTGTGTACTTTTGCTATAGCCAACAAAATTAAGTACGATCAAGGGCCTTTGTTTACAAAGAGTTAGCCAACGATCACAGCTTTTCTTCAAAACTTCAATAAAGAAAACTATGGTGTCATGGTTCATTAGCATCTTCAATGAACCTTAAACCCCCGGAGAGTTAGCTTTAGTAGAGAGAAATCCAGAAGTTTAGGACGAATAGCCCATGGTCGATGAGTTTGGTGCAATAGACCTTCAGAATCAAATTGGCTTCTATTTCATAGCTAAGCTGTATGCAAGTTGCAAATATAGTTTACATCTTATAAAGGTTTTCATCCAGTTTCCCAGAGAATCAAAGTAAAAAGGATTTCCGAGAATCGAAGTATTTTATTATTCTTGATGTCTATTTATTTATATTTTGTAATTTAATACAATTAGGGAAGAAAAAGCATTGAGATTGATACATCTCTAAGGGGATCTTTACTCATGGTTAGTTGAACTAATAGATCTTTAAGGTTTTTCGAAATTGATACATTTGTAAAGATGAATTTCTCATAAGGATTGTAGTTACTCGTTCTCTACAACACATCAGGATTTTAATTTAAGTTTAATAACTGAGAAAATAAGCTCAAAACAAGTTCATATGACTAACAAAAAGAAAAAGAAAGTTCATATGAACTTCACTCCACAAGTTCTTAAAACTAAACGCCTATCTATCAACCGCTTCAAGTTATAAAGTATACACACATGGCATTTTCAGAATAAATAATATTTTCTTGCATACATCATTTAATTTCATATGGTAAATAAATATGTGACTTTGAACGATGTTGCTGCTATTCCAATAACAACTCTTTCATTCTATAGACAAATGACACATCATCAAATAACTAAAGAGCTGCAACAAAGAAGCACAAATTTCTTTGAAGGCTCGATTTGAATTTTAAATGATTTGCCATTTAGACACAAACTTATTACTCAAAAACGAGTTAATGCTTTCCTAAGATTTAGAAAAACCGTTATGGTAATGATTTGGAGTCTTGGAAACAGAGAAAAATGACTCAACTAAGCTCGGATTAAGTAGTTTCTTCTCTTTAAGAAGCGTTTGAAACTATCTGTAACACAAATAAAATCATATCCTCTATATACTAAAACACAAGTCGTCTGGCCAATCAAAAGCCGACATGTAGAAAATAATTTAATAACAATTTAAAAGTAATTGAATCTCAACTTCCCATCATCACACGAGGAAAACATAAATTAGTTTACATATATTTCTCTTTAATTTCCCCGAAACCATAAATTGAGCTAATCATTATGTAAATAATAAATTTATGTAACAATTAATTCGGCTAACAATAATCACCCACTTTGTTAATTCCACAAAAAAATTTCTTGTTTGTCTCAACTTCCCATCACACGATCAACATAAATTATTTACATATAATGCTCTTTCTTTTCCCCATCGTTTTATCTTCCTCTTTCTATTTCTTTACTATCATCAGTGTTAACCCCGCTCTCTTTCAGGTTCATGACCCATCCTTCAATTTTCTTATAATAGTTCTTCTCTTCTTCTCTAATACATCATCCGATCTCTCTTTCTACAGAATTTCGATTGATGATGCCACTGGAGTATACTCCTATTTCTCAGATCAACACATCCAAAAAAAATGAAAAATCAGAGCGCTGGTCTCGCGGATTTTGGACTACCATTCCAAACATAAACCTGCAGTTGTTCTGGGGATGGAAGATATCCTTGTGGATGAAAAGGTACAAACTTTGATTTGGAAAATATGTTGCAGATTCCATTGATGACTGTTTGCTTAAATAGTCGATTTTTTTCTTAAAATATGTTGTACACTCATGAAATATTGATATGCTTGCATCATTTCATACTTGACCGGGAGATAGGATTCAAGCTTCTGTGAAACAGAAGTTGATTAAAATTTTTGAAAGGGAGCTTAAAGAGGAGAGAATCTAGATGTTATGAATTTCGAAGTACTTGGAAACAATGGTGATTACAAAGGAACCACACACCCTTACAAGATAAATTTTATCCGGACTTCATATGCAAAGACCTCTGAGAAGATTCCAAATCTATCCCGCTTCAACTTAAGCCCTTTTCCGGATATTTTATTAGTCAAATGTTGATGATGTCTTCATAGGTATGTTGTTTCTTTTAAGTCAGTACATATTTTCCGATTCTTTATTAAGCTAATCTTTGCCTAATTTCCCTTTTTTATGTAGACATACTGTATGAAATTGTTGGCGTGGGTGATATCACCATTAGAAGCTATGTTTGATATTCAACTACGAGATCTGAGGTTAGTTGTATAATTCTTTTAGTTACACTGAGTTGTTCTTACATTATGTTTTCAAAACTTTGTTTGCATATTAATTCAGTGGTCTTACTTATAGTGAAACAATCATTGAAAGCACATTATGGGAAAAACATGCTGAGGATGTGCACTCTTATGTCAAGAACAACAAAACTAGTCCAGTTATCTTGCTTGGAAGCCTTATGAGGATGAAAAGATACAATGGTAACCAATTTAAACTTTATTTCAAGTACATTTAAAAAATAAATATTGTTGGCCTGTATTACATAATTATTTTTAATTAGGTAAAATCTCAGTTCAAAACTCACGCTTCTCTACAAAGCTTTTCCTTAATGAAGAGTAAGTTTTTTTGTTTTTTTGATCAAAAGAAAGAGTAATTTTATCTTTAAATTTATATATTTATCTTCTTTGGTTAATATTCTTCACTAAATCTTTTAAATTATTTTCAGAATGGCGAACAATGATACTTTGGCTCTAACTGAGGTTTCTCCAATGGTCACACCCACCAGAAATAATAAAGATGTTGACTCTTTCCCATTAAGCTGCTGGAAAACTATCGATCAGTTAGCATCAACTATGGAGGAAATAATAATATGTTATACAATGCTATACACACATTAGCCATCGTGTACTATTGTTTATTTTTATTTTACCTTAGGTAGGCACTTGTGTTACTTTCGCATCCTTCTTAGCCTTTCAAAAGGAATGTCCTTGGTGGTATGTTGGGTGCAAAGCCTGTTGTTCAACAGCTACACCATATTTTAACCCAGTGACTGAGCAAATTGAGGCCAGCAAATATTCATGCTACACTTGCGAGAAGGATGAAACCACCACAATTATAAGGTAATATTATGTGCTATACAAGTATACATTTGATTTGAAACTTCACTCTTATAATCCTTTATACATTGATATTTGTCGATTATATGTACATCAAGTATAAAGTGCAAGTCAAAGTAGCTGATCATACTGAAAGTACAAATTTTCTATTATTTGATAGAGAAGTTATACAACTCATTCATAAATCTGCATATGAATTGCTTGAACAACAAGTGCAGGTGTGTTTCCCATTATTTCTTCATATATTTCATGTTTGTATTACCGCCAGGTCTGACTATAAAAGAAAATCTCACACATTTTCCTTTCACTTTTTGTTGTAGTTTAACCGTGAGAATGAAATTCCTCAAGAACTGATAGATTTGGAAGGAAGAAAGATTGCTTGGGTAATTTGTGTTAAGGGGACAGATAAAAATTACAAGAAACCAAGTTTTAAAGTTGTCAAACTCACTGATAAGCCTGAACTGATCCATAAGTTTCAGGATAATGTGACAGTGGAGGTATGTTTCAAGAATCCAAATCTATAAATGCAACTAATTCTATGTTCTTTTCTGGATGATAACTTTGTTTTATTTTTTTTAGGTTGCTACACATCCAGATTTGGCTATAAGTTCAAGTACATGTTCTGAAATGCAGGTTACTTTTACTCTTATTATTTCTCAGGTTGCAAGTAATTCTATGTTCTTTTCTGGATGATAACTTTGTTTTGATTTTTTTTTTTTAGGTTGCTACACATCCAGATTTGGCTATAAGTTCAAGTACATGTTCTGAAATGTAGGTTATTTTTTCTCTTATCACTTACTTCGTAATTGTTTATACTCAGAATGACAAACTATGTTGCATGTACATTTACTACAGGTGGAGAATACATCTTCAGAAGCAAATAATAATGATTTACCACCTTTCTCTCCTGTGACTCCAAGCACAAAACGACAACGAAGTCATAGTAGTGATGCTAAAGAAATTCAAGAATCATCAACAAAGCCTAAGGGATCGTCTAAAATGGCTAAAGCAGCAAAACCTGAAGAAAGAAAGAACAGGGGAAAAGTATTAGGAGACTGAGAAGGTAACATGATCAAGCGTGTTGGTATTTAATCTTAAGTTAGTTTGTATAGAGAATGCTTTCTTTAAAAGATGTTACATTAACTTTTAGTTATGCAATTTTATTGAATATCCAAGTCACTCTTATGTTAAGTAATTTTCACTTTAACTTTTTATTTCTGAAAACATTCTAAAAATTACTTTGGACGTTTAGGAACGAGGTTACAAATCTAGAAGAATAAGAACATATTGTCTATGTCTGACTAAAAGCTTAAACATAGCCAACTATTTTACAATCAAAAAAGGATATCAGATTCATCATCTTCTTTCTCTTATTAGGTTTACTGAATTTCTGTAGTAACTTCTTCTGCAAGAAATATTCAGTTCCTCTATGATGATCAGAGGAATATTCTAGCTCCAACTAGGTAGAGATCTCGATAACAAAAGGTTTAATCATTTTTGCAAAAGTAACTTTCCTTTACAGTTTATGAGGAAGTGATCAAAACAGAGTATTTGGAGACAGAGATTAAGAGACCTTAAAATTTGTATTATATGGTCATAGATGGTCAGGTTCATACCTTTGACCAGTTGGTTTGGACTCTTACAAATCTGGTATATACAAAAAATATACGCAAGGCCTTTAGATCGTTTCCATCTTTTGGTCTGAAAATCTCAGTAATGGTATTCATTGTGTTCTTGGTTGTCTGAATCTGTAATTGAGCGACCTACAGCTGCCCGATAACTAAATAACTCCATTATACAAAACTAAAATTGTTATTATAAAAGATACAAATTTCATAAGAGAAACAAACTTTTTGTATTGTTTTTATATTTTAATAGTCACTGAAAAAATGTCACTGAATTCTACCTTATAGTCACTTTGATTTGATTATCGTAAACTATGATTTTCTGGTAAGGAACCATATTCACCCACTATCTTTTATTTTTTAACGCCACTACATGTAACCTCTCCACGTTTTGTCATAATTATTTTTTATATGTAATTTATATTATAGAAACAGAGGTAACCGTTTCTTCTCTACGTTGGTGCAGAGAATCCTTATCATGAGTTACTCTTTTCGTTACACAGAATAAAAATTGACCCCATCTCAGGTTTAGTTGCAGAAAATATGAAAACAAACCTACTTTCCTCACGTATTACAAACAAAAAACGGAAGATCATTGTGTCCACACCAAAAAAGAACTATGATCAATTTGGTAGCAATCTACAAATCACCAGTCAAATAGCATTTGAAGCGGCTATTTACAAGCTATCCACACCTGTTAAATATTCAGTTGGTTTTTCATTGGCTGCGCCAGCACTTCCACCCAACAATTATCAAGATGGGAGTAGCTTACAAATCATTGATCGTACTATCTTTGAAGTGGCAGGAAAAAAAACCCCAAAACTACTAAAGCGTCTGTAAGTTCTTCATGGCAACGTTCTATCTGTCTCGGGGAAGGTGCTCATGGTGTTGTTCACTTAGTCATACGAAATGATTATGTTGAGGGTGATGCTTTGCCATTAAAAATCGCCATCGGAAGTGCATCTATATTATCTTCTTTCAGTATTCGAGATGAAGAACGGAGTTTGAAAGATCTTTCATCTCCTCATGTTATAACTTGCTATAGTAGCAATATCACACCGGCTGAAACTCAATACCTAGGGAGTGACTACAACTTGATCCTTGAGTATTTTTCTGGTGGCAGTATCTCAGATTTTCTCAAGTTCAGAGGAGTAGGGATGGCGGAGTCCGATGTCCAGATATTGGCTCTACACATCCTCAAAGTTATCAACTATGTACACTCAAAGAAAATCATCCACTGTGATATTAAACTGGCTAATATCCTCCTTAAACCGGTTAATTGCTCATCTGTGGTTGGTTATTTAATGCCTAATGGATTTGAGCCATAGCTTGCTGATTTTGGTTTAGCATTGAAAAAAAATTCAGATGAGTATGGAGATGGTTGTGGATTTGCAAGAGGGACACTATTGTACATGTCTCCCGAGGTTTTATACATTTACCACCTATCTCGCTTCTGTCTAGGGCTGTCTCTGCATCTCTAACATCATAGTACTCAATGAACCTGTGGAATCTCCTGTTTGGGGTTTCTCTAATCTGCTTTTACAAGTCAAGTATTAATAAGTAGATGGTTTGCACATTTGAAGGCACAAGCAAACAAAAAATTACCTCTCTTATTTCACCATGGGCTCCAAACAGCTTAAGGAGCTCATCATTTGATACTATTGAGTCCACATTAAAAATCAAAAGAGTCCCTTGATACATATCCTTCTCTGATGGATTTTCCTATCATGTCAAAAGTGAAAATAAATTACAAAAGTCCTTAAAGAAAGCTGAAACTTTAAATCCAGAATATATCTCTCAGAGCTCATACTTTAGGAATGGAGAAGTGTTCAGTGTCCTCTTTCTTATGAGCGTCTTCTGTAGCGCACGCATCCCAGCATGAGCAGCTCGGATATCATAGTAAAATATCATTACAAAACCCCTGCTTTTGCATGCAGTGTACAAACTCCTGATCTCCCCAAACGGCTGAGAGATAGAAGTTATGTCAGCAAGACTCGATACAGTACCAAGTTATAGATGGAATATTGGGCTCAAGCAAACAGACAGTTCACATACCTCAAAGAGAGCACTTTACTCTGAATCCTCGACACTGCGGTTGATGTTCCTTACAAATAATGTCCTTGAAGGATGCTCAACATAAGACCAAGTTTCAGTAGTGTTTAAATATGTATCTCATTTTTAGTGGATTGAAAAGTTTTAGGATGAGATACAGATATAAACAAAAAAAGAAATATGTATCTCATTTTTAGTGGACTAACAGCTTCATTATTATTATTACCGTCTTGCTGAAGAGGCTGTTTAAATAGGCTATGCTTACATAAGACCACTCTCCTCTTCACGTTTACGTTGCCGTATCTCATTTTTTTGTTTAAATCTCAGGTAATGAATATAGCTTCATTACCTTTATCACCCATATTCTCTTGGGATTCAACATCCAACTCCATACCCCCTCCAGTATAAACATCACACTCCTCGAGATCTTCAGGGATACAAATAAGGCAAGACATAGTGCTTCCTCAGATTTCCACCGGAGACAACCTCATATATCAAGAAATGCAAGCAATGCACCTGAAACAACAAAGCAGCAAGAAGTTTAAGCACTATGTCTTACCTTCCGTTTCTGTATCTAAAATAATCATGAAATGGATACAGAGACCTGTGCTGCTGTTGGGGAAACTGGCCTCGGATAAAAGAAGTTTGTTTTACTTTCATCGCCTCCGTGTTGTGAAGATGAAATCTCATGGTCGGGCCTGGTGTTTGCCGTCCAGTCAGCTGAAAGTGTCCGCACATCAGAAAGAATCATGAATGCACTCACACATATGACCCAGTGAACAACATGAAGAGCTTATGTAAGTTTTATGGACGAGGAAGGCTACGAGGAGGATGAGCGATCTTCCGGAGTATTTTGTTTTGGTGATAATCACGAGGATTCCGATAACAACATATCTATTTTAAAAATAATTTTAGATTATCTGTAAAATACGCTTAACAGGTTTACTTCAATATTATCCATAATTATAATGTATTTACAAATTACTTTTTTTTATTTAAGTTTACAAATATGAAATGATAATTAAAAATATAACAAATATTTGGCTCGTGCTATGCACGGGAAGTCACACTAGTACAATAATAAACGTTGAATAAGGTGAATAGAGAGGATGTTCACATTGTTTAAATGAATCATCCAATAGGAATGCTCCATACTGCTATCTGATATCATCTTCGGTCCAGAAAAGAAAAAAAGTGCAAGCTTTCTGTGTGCGGGCTCCTTAACCTCTGTTAGATATCTTAACGGCCCTATCGCTCCATGCACTCTTCTCTGTTTCATCTTCATCCAACCTCCATTACTGAGCCTCATATGCTATCAATCAATGGTGTTCTTCAATCCCCTCTTAATCAATTCGTTTTACCTCCTCTCTTTCTCTTTCCTTATAAACTGCTTCGTCTTAACTTGCTTTCAGTTAAACCCGAAAACCTCCTCTCAATAAGTTGTAGCTATGGAGATGATCTTTGGAACTAAAGTTTTGTGTTGTAAGAGCATCATTATTGGTAGAAATAATTTTTAAGTCTTTAGTTTATTTTATTATTATTGTTATGTCAAGAGACAAAGTTAAAGAACAATCTCAAAAATGTAGATTATTGGTAGGACTTTTGTTGTCTATTAGTAAATTGTTTTAGATTTTAAAGAAAGAACAAGAGTGTAGTGAATCTACACGAAGCAATATCACTTTTACTATCAATACTAGGGCATGAAGCAATATCAATAAATTCGTTGATGTAATATTTTACTATACAAATATGCAAATAATCATAAAATCATATGAGTAGAAACCTCATTTAGTAAATATACATATTAAAAGTGTACTATATATCTATGTTATCATTTAAATTTAATTATATTTCATGTACGATATATAAGATTGATTGTTTTGATTTATTTACCCTAGTTAGGAATAAACAAGAGTGATCGTTAAGTTAATATGCACACACCAATTTATTACATAATAGTAACCGATTTCTTAGTTATTTAATATATATACTTAATATTTCATAATATGCAGAAAACATAAAATAAATAATAATATAAAATACTTATTCTGCAAAAGGTGCAGATCTTAACATAAGTATGTATCACTTTAATTATTTTAAATCTTAAGCATTATCTAAATCTTAGGCCAAAAAAAAAGAGAGAATAAACTTAAAAATAAATATTTATATCGAGAAATAACCAAAATGAAAAAAATAAATCACAAAAAGAGAAAAATATCAAAGATAGATAAGATTGACACATGAACGTAAACTTCTCATAACCATAATTATTTTTTAAATTGCTAAATTATGATATAAAACTGAGCTAACATAGTTTCATTGTAACCAAATAGATCCAAGATTTTTTGACCTATATGTTAGATTCTTTGCGGTAAATGATAATTTGACCGAAAACATTTTTAAAAATGAGATCAGCTCATCAGTATACAAATTATGTAACTAAAAAAAAGTTAAAAAAAAATCGTTTAGAGACCAAAATATTAATTCAATCAAGACTATAGATTTATTTTTTCATATAGTATTTTTTACATAATTTTTATATAAATTTATCCTGCGCAAGGTGAATGTTTATCCTAGTACATATTTATAGTGGAAACAAGCAATCCCCTATATATTAATCATGGAGCATTAAAACATTTTTTTGGTAGCCACGTGTCACAATGTGAATGATTTTCATAACTCTTAGAAAAATATATTAGTCCAACTAAACATATGTTATATTTTTATTAAACTAACTAGCAAATTTAATTAGTAGTGTACAAAAGATTATTCTCTATTATTTCCTTAAATAAAATATATGGAATTACCTAATATGATAATAAATATCTGATAACAAATTGTTATCCTCTCTATTTTTATTTAATTTTATATTATTAAAAAAATTAATGGTAACATTTTTTAGTTCAGCCAATAGTTTTTTAATGGGTCGTAAACAATTTTTAATGATTAACTAAATAGATCATGTACATAATAGAATTTGTTTTGGTTTAAAAATTATTGCATACCTAAAATCAAGATGAACCATCATCCCTTTGGTTTAAAATTTTGTTACAATAAAAAATATAAAATTGGACATATCTTTAAATAAAATTGGTTATATATCCAAATGAATTCAAAATTTTGGTATCTAGATAACCAAAATTGAATCGAAATATTTTGGATATCCGAGTGTACTCGAACCAGATGTATATACTTAAATTTATTAATTATTTATTAATTTAACACCTAATAGAAAATACATGAGATGTTTTAAAATTTTACAAAATACTTACAAATATATAAAATAGTTAAATGTACATTTTTAATATAGATAAAAGATATTCCCAATACCGAAAGTACTTGAAATATTTATTGATTTTTTCTAAATATTTAAAACAATTTTTTTTGTTAAGTTTAAGTATTTTTTGGTATTCATTTTTTAAATTTATATGTTATATATTATTTTAAATTTTAGATTTTGAGAAATTTAAAGTATATATAAACTTTAATCTTTTTTAAAAAAATAAATGGGTTATCTAAATCTAAATCCAAACCGAACCTGCGAAGATTCGAACCAAACCCGCAAATATCTAAATCAAATACAAACCGAATCAAATGGTACCTAATATTCATCTCTAATCAAATGTAGAAAAAGATTATTGATAACAAAATATGTATTTAAATATAATATAATTTTTTAAAAGTTCATTATGTGCATGCCGCGGGTTATCATCTAATACATATTTATAGCGAAAACAAAAGTTTACACTATCTTCTCACCTAAGAAGCAAGGACATGTGTATCTTGAGTATATAGTCACCTTTATGGGGTTAGACCATGTGTCGAATGAATAATCACATTTCTAACAGTTCAAACATGATTATATTTTTCATGTAGAAAATTCATCAAACTGGGGTTTTAATGGGCCGGAGATAACCGCTTTGAGGATTATGGCCCAAACTACCGACTAGAGTCCAAAACCTTCATCGGAACTCCGAGCGCTTTCGCATTCAGATTGAGAAGAGCGAAAAATCTAAGATGGCATTCCTGAGATCCCTCTGCCGTACCGCTGCGGCGGCCTCCGTCGCTACGCTCCGATTTTCCAGATCCGCCTCTCCCAGTCAGCTGTTTCGCCATGGTTTCGTCTCCACGCGAGGATTCTTCGCTGTTTCTTCATTTCCTTCTTATCGAACTCCTTACGGTAATCGTTTCCTCTTGGTTTCGATGAACGAGATTGATTGTCTTATTGATTAGTTTTTAAATCGACAGACACAGTATTCTTCGATCACATCTTCTAGATCAGTTTCATTACCTTTCGTTGCGAAAACTTTAGTTCTTGCACTTTGTAATTACCTTTGAAAGCTATAGCTCTTTTGTTGCAAAGACTTTGAGGTGTAGTCGTGCACATCTGCTCGTTGTCTGCTGCTCGTGCATTGCACGTTGTAGTTGTAGTTGACGTGTGTTTTGATGGTGAAAACTGCAGATTGTCGAGCAATGGATATTGGACAAGTCCGCAACTTCAGCGAAGATGTGTCTCACATGCCTGAAATCAAGGACAGTGATGTTCTGAAAGCTTTCAAAGAATTGATGGCTGCTGACTGGGCAGTGCTACCTTCTTCTGTTGTTAACGACGCCAAAAGCGCTGTCTCGAAAAACACAGATGACAAGGAAGGGCAAGAGGCCTTACTGAATGTGTTCAGAGCAGCTGAGGCTGTTGAGGAATTTGGTGGGATTCTCACTTCCTTAAAGATGGAGATCGATGATAGCATTGGAATGAGTGGGGAGGTTTGTTGTTCTTCCCTCACCAACCATATTCTTCTTTGGGTCTGAAATCTTTGATGTTTCTTATTTCCTCTTGCAGAATGTGAAGACCTTACCAGAAGATATAACCAAAGCGCTGCGTCTTGCTTATCATAGGTATACTACCTACCTAGATGCTTTTCGACCTGAAGAAGTTTACTTGAAGAAGAAGGTTGAGATGGAGTTGGGGACAAAGATGATCCACTTGAAGATGAGATGCAGCGGGCTCGGTTCTGAGTGGGGAAAGGTAAACAAATTTGCATCTTTCACATCAACATATTATAAGCTAGAACTTCCTTATTTAAGCATGACTTGCATAGTTATTGACAAATCCACATTCTCACTGATATTTCCATCTTTCTTTTTCAACTTTCATGCATGATTCGTTGTATCATATGCGGCATTGGGAAAAAAAGATATGCTTATCTCTTTTACGCGTTGATTTGATTTCTTTCTGCTGTAGGTTACCGTTCTTGGAACCTCAGGACTCTCGGGGTCTTACGTGGAGCAAAGGGCATAACACAAAAAGACAAGATCTTCAATAAGTTGCAAAACTTTATATGTTGCTACTGCTTATAATAAGGTGGATAACTTGACCAAACGACTTATGTAAGATGAGTTTGTTCATTGTTTCCTACAAAAGAGCGAAGCTTTTCAAAGTTAAAGCTTAACAACAACACCAATTGAAAAATAAATTTAACAGGTATTTGTGTTATGTTTCCTTTACATTTAGAGTTTGTTTTGTCAAATAAAAGGAACTGGAGCAACTTTATTTGGCTTCATCCATGACCAAGACTCTGCAGGTGACTTAGGTAGTGGTGGAAGCAACGCAGCTTTTCTTCCCAAACCAAACGGCCATCCTTGGCAGTGACACAACTCTTGAATCACTGATCCTTTCCTAATTCCATTCAAATAATACATCTTCCATTGATTCTCCAACTCTTCACCTTTCAAGCTCGAACACCTCGAGAACTCGGTTTTGGCCGTCATATATGCTTCTACACTCAGTTCACTAGTGCAACATTCCGAGAAGCTGCTTCCCACAGAACAAAACTCTATACCCTCTTCCTTCTCGATGTTGCATTCCTCTTTAGATTGGTAAGTTAGTCTCTCCATGCATATTCTTGGCTTCTGCCTTAGTTTCTCCATTGCTCGACTTTTGATCTGGAACACAACAATCTGAAACAAAACAAAAATTAGGAAATGCAACACACAAAAGCAAATGAATGGGTTTTCTAGTTTTTACTTCATGGTCGTAGTTGAAATCCCCAATAAGCTTCTCGTCATTGTCTTCGTGATCTGAACGGCCAACCTTTCTCCCTTTGCATTTGTAACAATGAGTTAAAGCATCTTTTAACCCTGTGGCTACGTCGTCGGTGCAGGAGAATACCATCGCTCACCTGCAGGGTCTCTCTCCCAGCTGTTTAAAAGATCACGAACGAGTGAAATGCTTTGAAATCTACATAAATTTTTTTGGGTTTTAGATTTTAAAGACATTTTGTGAGCTGCACAGTGACAGTTTATCTAACATCACTTGGATTCTTTTCAATGCACGCAACACCTTTTACTGTTTACTTATCTGATGAACAATTATAGAAAATAACTATTATGACCAAATATAGATTCTGGTAAGTACAATAGTCATCCAAATTATCAGGTAGGAGATTCGGGCAAACATGGTTTAATAAATAAATTCCTAATAGTGAGGCTCAAATTACATTGAGACTTGAGGGTATATATTCTGTAAAAGTTAAATAACATGATATATGATATGATCTTCACTCTATGGAATTGCATATCTTCTTAGTCAATTAAAAAGGAAGAGTAGACAATTTTTTTTGTGGTGTTTCAAAAAGACAATTTTTTTGTTAACATATACAAATTCATCTCAAAATAATTCTGAACAGATGTTATAAAAAGATTCATATCTGACTTGAAGCATAAACAATGGTGGTGACAGAGAAACTAAAAACACTACACCAAACCTACGTCATCATGATACGTAAAGATAATCCATTACCTACCAATAAAATACGGTGTAAAAATGAAGAAATCGACCTTAATTACCTGAGCCTTCAAGAATTTGGGATTGGTATAAAAATTAAGAAAGACATACCTTCGAAATCTTTGTATATATTTATATTCCTCGAAGAACTTCAAACAAGCCTTAGAAGCTTATTGTATGTTTTGTTAATGGCTTTCTCCTGCAACGGAGTTGGATTCTGTATTTATCTTATTCTTCTTTATGGACAGCATATAAACCTTTATGTCTATGACCACCATTATTTCATTCACATGCCCCTCACGATGCAATAATTACCACCAAGAAAGTATAACTCTTTTTAGGGCGTTACTTTTACCCCAAACTTTAATGTATTTTGTTTTTCCACATAAAAATTTTCATAATGACCATAAAATACACTAGCATAGTTTTTTACTATGTGTTTTTGAAGACCTTTACTTTTAGTAATTCGTTTCTATCACGGGTTAGCAAACAAGAACATCAATCAGGCCACAAAATAGCACATATAATGAAAAGATAACGTGTTACAAAAAGAAACGAAATTATTCATTCCAAGTTGGAAACGATAAGTTATCTTTATGCTATAACTATGGACTATGGTGTATCCAATTAATTTATTTTCTCAGGTATCTAATTAAGAATCCTTCTAATCCATTATTTCTCAGAGAAGACTTTGGATAATAAACCTTGCTTTTGTAAACTAATAACAACTATGTGTTTTCCAGTGATAAATTTTTAAAAATTTAAATTATATTTGAAAACAAAATTTATTAATATTATATATTTTATAATTTTGACCAGCATATAATATAAATTTAATTTAGTTAAGCATAAATTCAGAGAAAAATATATTTTTATAATTTTAAATTATATTAAATATATATATATATATATATATATAAATATGTATATATTTGAAATCATAATCTTAGATAAAAAAATTATATTTCTTCTCGTTAAATATATTAAATCAACTTATACAAAATTACTAAAAATATTCATATAAAAGTTGTATAGCTATCAAAATTAAAACAAAAAATATTTATAAAATTGGTAGATATTTAAAAGAAAGCAATGATATTACGATTAAAATTTATATTTTAAAAAAATTTTGTAGAAAGTTTTAGTAGTAAAATTGTATAACTATAATAATAAATTAAATGATATTTCGAAATTTATAATATCATATTTGAATATACTTTTGTGATGCTTTATGAGTTATTATCATATTATAAGTTTACCAAAAATATAAATAACATTAAATATACTATATGAATTATTTTCATATTCTATAAAGTTTACCAATAATATATATCATCGTTAAATGTAATTGTCCATGTCATATTAAACCATAAGACATGTCATATTTTTTATATGTCATATCATATTAATTTAGTGAAAGTGATTGTATAGATGACATGTGTCAAAATCACTTCGCGAATTATGTCTAGGGGATTTTGCTTGAGTCGTTGTCCTTTCTCATTGGTTGGTCCAATTTTCATTAGCCACTATGTGTTTCCTACACCATGCAACGGAATTTTTATAAGCTTAAATTATATTTAATAATAATTTTTATTAATATTATAGATTTTATTATTTTCTTACCATTATTTAAATACAGATTTGATTTAGTTAAATATTAAATTAAGATAAAGTAAGTTTGTTTATTTAGAATTATAATTAAGAATATATATGTATATATTTAAAATTATAATCTTAGATAGATTTTTCTCTTCATTTATATTGCTTAAATATGTTTAGTTACTGTGTATAAAATTAACATAAGTGATATAAATTGTATAATTATCAAAATTTAAACTAAATAGTAATTCCAAAAGTTTAAGATTTATTAGAAACTAATGATTTTACTAAATTATATTTTTTTAAAATTATAGCAATTTTTACAAACTTTAGTAATACAAATTGTATAATATGAAAATAAAATAGAATAATTTCAAAATTTGTAATGATATATTTGAATATATTTATTTTAAAGATGATGAATGAGTTGTTACCATATTGTAAATTTTTTACTATAAATAAATATCAACACTAAATGTAAAGTATTTGTTATTACTATATTTAAAAAATTTACCAAAAATATAAATTAACATTAAATGTAATTATCCATGTTATATTTTGTCATATGCCATGTCATCCCTTTTAGTAACCATGTCACATTTATTTTTGTGAAACTGATTATAGAGATGACATATGGCAAAATCGAGTCAAACGCTGATATACTCTTTGACCAAAAATTTTAATCTCATATACTCCTCTTCTTTTCTATTTTTCTTTTTCATTTATTTTTAATTCAAAAATTGACTAGAAACCCAATAACCCCTTAATGAATCTACTTATTTACATATCATATCACTAAACCTAATTTTCTTCTTATCTCTATAGATCTAATGTTCTTTTCTATTCTTGTTTTCTTCAAAACACTTTCTCTCTACTACTTTTCTCTCATTCTTCTTGTTCTTCATCTTGTTCTTCTTCTCATTATAGTTTTTTAGTTAAAGGATTCTGGTAAACTTTATTCCTTTTATCTTCTTCTTTCGCGTCATCGTCCTCCTCCTTGTCCTTTGCTTCATCTTCTTCTTCCACCTCTGCCTCCACCTCCTCCTCTTTCTCTTTTGTTTCTTCCGTTTTCTCCTTGTTTTTGTTAGATTCGTCTCTGATTTTCTTAGATTTGTCTCTTCCTCCATCTACTTTCTTTATTTTCAGTTTTTTATCTAAAACACGAAAGTGAAACTATAAACCCAGAAAAAACAGTTTTATAAAGTTACACTTTCGTGTAACTTGGTGTCACTAGGTTTAGTTTTACCAAGTTTTTCTGGATTTGTAGTTTCACTTTTGTGTAACTTGGTAAAACTGTCTAACTTGGGGTAACTAGGTTCTAGTTTTACAAGTTGTTCCTTTGACAAATGTACAACTTGGTAAAACTGTATAACTTTGTGTAACTAGGTTCTAGTTTTACCAAGTTGTACCTTTGACAAATGTACAACTTGGTTAAACTGTATAACTTGGTGTAATTAGGTTCTAGTTTTACCAAGTTGTACCTTTGACAAATGTATAACTTGGTAAAACTAAGACATAACTATACCAAGTGTATTTTCGACAGTGGTGTAACTTAGTTCAACTTAGTTTCTAGTTTTACTAAAATTCGAAATTCAAATTTTGAATTGGATACCTAAAATTCGAAATTCAAATTTTAAATTGAAGAAGGAAAACGTAAGGGTAAAATTGGAAATCTCTTATTTTAGGAAGAGGAGAGTATTTGAGAATTCGTAAGAGTATGATAGATCACTTTTTGCCTCATTAAGAATATATGAGATTTTTACTCGGCAAAATCACTTAACAAATAATATAGAGGAGATTTTACCATTATTACTGATGTGACGGCATCACAGATCTTCTTATCTATCCTAACTAATAGACCTTTAATTAAAATTTATAATATTTGCCACTGATACTCATGTATATTTCTAATACATTATAAGTTATAACATAACACAAGACAATAATCAGTTCGTAAAAGAAGATGATAACCGGATTTCAAAAGTAAAACATTTTCTAAATGGTATCCCGAATTAATTAAGGACTAGATTTTGACCCGTCTTTCAAAGGCTGGGTATATTATTTTTGTTAATTTTTTATTTATAAGAATTTTAATTTTCATATTTGTGTTTTTTTGGTAATCTTATTTGTAATTTTCTTTCTAATTATATTTGTGTATAATATTTTTTAAAAAATTATTAAGACAAAGTTTTGAAAATCGTATTTAATTTGTGATATTGCATAACTTTACACTTGTACCATAGTCATTCACACATTTATTTTTATTTTATAACTAGATTTTGACCCGCCCTTCAAAGGGCATGTATATTTTTTTGTTAAATTATTCTTTGTAAGGAATTTAATTTTCATATTTGTGTTTTTGGGTAATCATATTTGGATTTTTTTTTTGTAATTATATTTTTATATAAATTTTTAAAAAAAAATTATTAAGAAGAAGTTTTGAAAATCGTATTGAATTTGTGATATTGCATAACTATACACTTCTACCATAGCCATTCACACATTTATTTTGAACTTTATTTATTATCGTTATTATTTTATTTTATTTTATTTTAAAACAAAGCAGTTACAATTTTATTTAGTAATTAGATAGCAACTAAATATATGTAATTATATGTTTTTCATTAAATTTTAATGATTTGATTTTATATATAATGATTTATTAATGTTATCACTGCACATAGTAATATGTCATGCAATTTAACATGTGTTTGTAGATTTTGACTCATTACCCTATATATTAGTTGAGAAACATTTGAAAAGATGTAACTTCAATTTTGTAAAACTTA